TCCAAGGTTCTAAAGGTCCAGTTCAGAGGCAACAAAGAGTCAGAAGCATCCCAAGAAGACTTGCAGAGTTTGACATGTTGCAAGACACTGAAGTAGACTCTAAAGGAGAAGTTATTCAGTGTGCAATGTTAGTAGACTCTGAACCCGTGAGTACGAAAGAGGCTCTTAAGCAGTAAGTCTGGTCGCAGACCATGAAAGAAGAATTTGATGCTATAAAGAGAAGCAAGACTTGGAAGCTGACTGAACTTCCAAAAGGCAAGAAAGCCATCAACGTCAGATGGATTTTCAAGCAGAAGCTAAAGCCAGGTGGATCAATTGGCAAACAAAAAGCAAGATTAGTAGCAACAGGCTTCCTACAGAAGTCTGGGCTGGATTACTTTGAAGTGTTTGCACCTGTAGCGAGACATGAAATAATCAGACTAGTGATTGCAATAGCTGCTAATAGGAAATGTCCTCTGATGCATTTAGATGTAAAATCTGCATTTCTGAATGGTCTATTACAAGAAGAGGTGTACGTTTCACAACCTCTTGGATTTAAGAAAAAAATCAGAAAGGGATGGTGTTCAAATTACACAAAGCATTGTATGGATTGAAGCAAGCGCCCATAGCTGGGAATTTGAAGATTGATTCATTTTTCAAGGAACAAGGATTTCAGAAGTGTGAGATGGAGTATGGTGTTTATGTTCAGCACACTTCAGAAGATAATATGATTCTGGTCTGTTTGTACGTTGATGACATACTACTTACAGGAAGTTCTGAACAAGAGATAGTTGAGTTCAAGAAAGTTCTGATGAATGCTTTTGAGATGACAGATCTTGGAAAAACGAGTTTCTTTCTAGGGATGAAATTTATGTACTCTGAGAAAGGAATCATTTTACATCAGATGAAGTATGAACTAGAGCTTCTGAAGAGATTTAAGCTAGAAAATTGCAAGGTTGCTATTACACCTGCTGATACGAATCAGAAGTTGGACTCTGATTTTGATGGAGAGGATGTGAATGCTATAACTTTCAAACAAATGGTTGGTTCTCTAAGGTATTTGTGTAATAACAGACTTGATATTTGCTATGCAATTGGAATGGTTAGGAGATTTATGAGAAAACCAAAGTGGTCCCATTACCAAGCTGCAGTCAGGATTCTGAGGTATGTGAAGGGAACTCTGAAATATGGAGTGTTATTTCCGTCTGGAAGAAAGATCGAATCAGAACTTGAGTTATTCTGATTCTGATTGGTGCGGAGATAGAGTTGACAGAAGAAGTACTTCTGGATATTTATTCAAATTTTTGGGAGGTCCTATTTCTTGGTGTTCCAAGAAGCAACCTGTTGTTGCCCTGTCAACTTGTGAAGCTGAATATATTACAGGCGCTCTGACTGCGTGTCAAGCTGTGTGGATTCTGAACTTGCTAAAAGATCTGAAGATTAAGGTAAATAAACCTCTGAAGCTGATGATTCATAACAAGTCTGCAATCAATCTTGTCAAGAATCCAGTGTTGCATGGAAGAAGCAAGCATATTGAGACCAAATATCATTTTCCGAGGAATCAAGTTCAGAATGGAATATTAGAGGTTGTGCACTGTAGTACTCAGAAGCAGCTGGCAGATGTTCTGATAAAGGCTATCAAAACTGATCAATTTCTTGGTTTAAGGGATGAAATTGGTGTTGTCAGTTTTGGGTAAATATAAATTAAGGAATGCTGTTAGAATTAATTTAGATTTAATTAGATATTAATTTATATTTAGGAATATCTATTAGATTGTTTATATCTTTGTTAGAAGATATATATCTTAGATCTTCTTAGATCTTTGTAGAAGATATATTTTAGATTTAATTTTGTGTATAAATAGCCTAGTGAAGTAGATTATTGTAATTTCATTGTAAATCCTTATTTTAAAGCTATCAGTAAATATTTCTTTTTCCTTTTATTTTCCTTATGCACCAACAGTAATAATATATCTCTTTGTTATTATTGACGTTGAATATTTGATTTATGTAGTGGGAAAACATTGGCAGGTAGAGGGAGAAACGCATAATATATGTTATGGTTCAAAGTTGTAAATTTTTTATCAGTGATTTTATTTCTTCTGTTGCAACTGTTTATGTTTGATGTTAAAATTGTTGTTTTTCAAGTTTGGCATGTTAAAATTGTTGCAGCTATTATGAATCAAATCTTATCCATTGGCACGTTGAACTCTAAAGTAAAACAGGTTAATCTTCCACTATAATAATGCTTGCAAACTTTCTACTTGCTGAAAAAATGTTAGTTTGTTTTTCTTGGACTTTCAAGCGTGTATTTTCTTTTTAGTTTAATGTGTTTTTATATTGATTCACATTAATTAACAAGATGATTATTAGCATTAAATTTCCTACAAATACCTGTACAAATTTCAATATTTATCTGCAGAATTCAAAACTTGTAAAAAAATTAACCTACAAGAAACTATTCAAAATGTAGCCTGTTATTAGGCTTAGGCATTTGTTTTAGACAATGTTAAGTGTTAATATGGTTGAAAATATTAAATTTGATTTGAGTCTAAATTTATTAATTGGTTTTTGGGCTTAGTTATTTTGGACTTAAGTAGTTTTCTAGAAAATTCTTGTAATATTTGGAATCTCTAGATATTTCTTATAATTGTAATATTTTCTAGAATAGTCTTTAGATCTCTAGAGTTGAGAACTCTCTAGAATTAGTGTGTCTAGAGTTCTCCTTAGAGTACTATAAATAGAGATGTAATCTCATATATTTGTATCAAGCAAAAAAGTACAAAGTTCTTCTCCTCCATAAAGAATTATCCTACTTATCAAATTTATATTCAAACCTTCAATATTTTCACACACTTCTCCTTAATATAAAAGATCTTATTTCCAACAAAGACTTCGTTTTGACACGCGAGTAGCAAAGTTTCTTCTTCTCCTCCTTTTTCTTCTACAAAATTAGATTTCTCTTCCACCTTCTTCGAGAATCTACACTCGGTTGCGTAATAACCAATCTTGTTGCAGTTGAAACATTTGACTTGTGATTTATTTCTCCTCGACCATGAGGTTCCTCTTCCACGACCTCTTGTTGCTTGTGGATTCCAACTTCTTTCTCCATTGTTGAAGTTGTTGGAGTAGTTATTGCAACCGCCTCTTCGAACATGCTTGAATTGTTCCCTGTGAAAATGTCGGCAACTTGATTTTGAGACATTACATACTTCAACTTCACCTCTTTTTTCTCAATGCATTCTCTTATGAAGTGATAACGGGTGTCGATGTGCTTACTTATTTCATGAAAGACTGGATTCTTTGTCAAAGCAATTGCTGATTTATTATCAACACATATTTCCATTGGATCTTCTTGTGGCATTTTTAACTCTTTCAACAAGTTTCTTAGCCAAATTGCATGACAAACGCATGATGTGGCAGTGACATACTCGGCTTCACAAGTTGATAGTGTGACTATTGGTTGCTTCTTTGACATCCAAGTGAAAGCAATATCTCCCATAAAGAACACATAACCAGTAATGCTCTTCCTATCATCCAAGTCTCCACTCTGTCATACCCCAAATTTGCCCTACCTCGATGATTGTATTTTTCAAGATTAAAATAGAAGAAATATTTAATTAAAGGTGGTACAGCAGTATCTGATGACTCATCTTTATCTAAGACTAGGGGGTGTATTTTAATAGGGACTCTCTAAATCAGAAAGACTCATAAAATCGCTCGCGAAGCATGTTGGCCATGGGCCCATGCAATTCGAAAATAAAAATCACCCGAGTAATTAATAAATTATTAATTTATTAAGGACTACTTAGGTCTAATTTTCCAGTGAAATTAGGCTACTGAGTCCGCTAGGATTTATTGCTGTCAATAAAAAGGAGGGATAAAATTTAAAAGCCAATTTAAATTTTGTTGTTGTTAATAAAGAGGAGAGGGTGTGATCATCAAATTGTAGGCCCATTATATTAGATGCTGTCTTGTTTAGAATAAGAAAAGCAATATTATTAAGATTACTGTTTTAATTGAAAAGGGATATATAAAAGAAGTATGACTATTATAAAGAAAAGATTGTCTATTATTATTATTTTGAATAAATAAATAATACTGTTATTAAAAAAAAAACGTGACATTTGTCCCTTACTGTTAAATTCTTTAAAAAATAATAATTGTTCATTGTCATATACTTTCAATTGACTTTTTACTTTTTAATAAGTAACATAGCACAGTCAGTAAGGGAGAAAGACTGACAGTGTGAAGGTCACAGGTTCAATACTAACTTTATTTTCATTTTTTAAAACCACAAAAATCATATTTTCATTATTAAATTATCATTTTCGTATTTATTTATTTATTATATTTTGAAAATATTATTTTTTATTAAAATATTTATTTTATGTAAAAAAAGAGTCAAAATAAGTTATAAATAAATAAAATTTAATTTGGACTTTTTGTTCACTTTGAGCTAATTTTCTCTCCAAGTTTTTAATCTAATTTTACTCTATAAATAAGACAATTCCCACGGTATCAACAATCATCCAATAATATCCACAAATCAACAATCTCATCAACAATTCTCTATCTCTCTCACAAATATTTTTCTACGCAATTCTTTGATTTATTTTTGAGTTTTGTCTTTCACACACACTTAACCATATTTTTATCTTGAATAGACAATTACATACGACCTTCCATTTTATTTTTCAATTTATTTATCTTTTTAACACTCATACGGTATACACACTTACAAGTATTCATCTGGGCATGAAATTTTTAGAAACTTCTTTTTCTCTTTTCTCATTGAATTCTTTTTCCTGGTGAAACTCTTACTAACACTCATATATTCACACAGCAATTTCCCATTCCGCGAAGACAAGAACTCTCCAAAACTTCCAATGTCTTTAACATTACAAATTACTTTCTAAACTTAGCCATAAACTTGTATGTTATAACAACAATATCTCATGTTCCTCTAACAAAAAATATGTATATTGTTTAGAATTTTGTTTTGCAGGAGAAACAATTCAATGCCACCATCATTTACGGCAATGAAAGCCAGCCGTGAGATCCTCCACGACAAGCTCCGCCACGAGAAACCCACAACTCCAGTGATGAGACCCATTCTCCGGTCGCAGTTTCAGGCACACAACCGCTCGCGACCACCACGCTTCATCTTTCACCATCGATCCACCGTGCCAGGTTCTTCATTTTGTTTTTATTATTTTGGGTATTATGTTTGTTGGATTTGGTTTGTTTTGAAGAAGATAGAAAGATGAAGGCCATCGCGGAGAAGAAAAGAGAAGAAGCGCCATGTAAAAGAAAAGATGTAACAAATGCCATGTGTCAGCTTTTAAGTGGTTATAAGGTATAAAAAATGATTAAAAAAAATTCAATGTGGTGGTGTGTGTAGTCTGTCTCCTCCTTTATTTTTGGCATATTATGTATATTTTTTATTTTTGTTATATTTATGAATAGCAAAATTAGGGTTTAATGATAGTAATGGGCCTTGGGCTCAATTTCTCTACTCTTTTACTAATTTTACACCATCCTTAATTCATTATTGCACCCTTTTATTTATTTAAATTAAATTTTTAATTTAGTTTTATTAGACTAATTTAGGTTTTATTAGCCTTACAAAAGGATGTAAGAAAAAATATTATTATTAATAAACTTTGTACACATTCAAAAGACTTTTTACAATTAATTAATTCAACATTTTTTAGGATATCTATCTTCGAATAATTAAATCTGTCGACACATCGTTTACCGGTTTATTATTTAAAATCTTAAATTACGATCGAATATTAAAATCCATGCAATTCATTAAATATTCCACCTGCGAGCAACACGTGACCAATATCTGGCCAAGTGGTGAGGAAGAATATATGAGACTTCCCCTGCGTCCTTCATAACGAGCAACACGGAGCCAATATCCGGCCACATGGTGTGGAAGATTATATTATACTTCCTCCGCATCCCTCATGACGAGTAACACGTGGTCAATATCTGGCCCCGTGATGAGAACACGTGAGGAGGAGACTATATCAGACTCCCCTGCTCCACGTCTTAACCAAATCAAATACCAAAACAGCTAACCAATTACAAACTACATTTTCTACTAACATAACAAAAACCCAAGATATCTTCAAAAAAGGATTAAGGCGAATTACTTTCAAAATTAACTGCGTCTACAATCACTCACTTTTTAAAACCCAGACAAGGTTCAAGGATAAATTTGAAAGCAATTCAACGCGATGCTATAAAAAACACCAACCCAAACCCAGACAAGGTTCAAGGATAAATTTGAAAGCAATTCAACGCGATCCTATAAAAAATACCAACCCATACGAACTACAAATTGAGACTCTGATTCCTCATAAGAGGATACGTAGACATACGATCAAAAATCGTAGCGAGTTCCCCTATTAAAAAAATAGGACAATTTTCTTGCTAATTAAAACTTAAAACACCATTTCCCTCAAACCTAAACCTAGGGCTAATATCCTTGTGAACAAGGTAGACGAAAGGTGCCTAACACCTTCCTTTCGTCTAATTGAGTCGTAACCTAGAATCTTTGCCCGCAAATTAGGGTTTTCTGTTAGGTTTCCTTCCTTAGGATAAAAACTAATAGTGGTGACTCTTGATTTAAAAACCATTCGCAACACACTCCAATCGCTATCACTATAGAAAAAAATCTCATAATTATTAGAAGAGTAATAGTGAAAGCCAAAGTTAGTTGTACCTTTAATGTATCTAAGGATTCTCTTTTCCGCCTTGAAGTGAGTTGTTGTTGGAGCTTTCATGTATCGACTTACAACTCCTACAGCATAGAGAATATTTGGCCTTGTACTTGTTAAATAACATAGACTTCCAACCAAACTTTTGTGAAGAGTTGGATCCACATTCTCCCTGTTTTCATGCTTGCTTAACTTGCTACCACATTCCATCGGGGTGCCAACTGGATTGGCATCATTCATCTTGAACTTCTTAATGACTTATTTGGCATAGCCTTCTTGGGTGATGAAAATTCCTCTGTCTTTTTGCTTTACTTTAATGCCAAGATAATATGCCATGAACCCCATATTTGTCATCTCAAATTCATTTAACATGTCTTTCTTGAACTCTTCGAACATGCTTGGATTGTTCCCTGTGAAAATCAAGTTATCTACATACAAGCACACAATTAAAATATGTCCACTTTGCTCTTTGATATAGAGTGCATGCTCATATGGGCACTTGATGAATTTCTTGTCTTGAAAGTACTTGTCGATTCGAACATTCCAAGCTCTCGGTGCTTGCTTGAGACCGTACAATGCCTTCTTCAACTTCAAGACTTTTCTTCTTGCCCTTTTACTTCATAGCCTAGTGGTTGCTCGATATAAACCTCTTCTTCGAGAAAACCATTCAATAAGGCTGATTTCACATCCATTTTGATACATCTTCCATTCATTTTAGGCTGCCAAGAAAATGATCAGTCTAATAGTTTCAAGACGAGCAACAGGAGCAAATACCTTATCATAGTCAATTCCTTGTCTTTGACTATATCCTTTCGCCACCAATCTTACTTTGTATCTCTCCACATCTCCTTTTGCATTCTTCTTTGTCGTGTACACCCATCTTACTCCAATTCCTTTATGTCCTTGTGGAAGTGTAGTAAGTTCCCATGTATCATTCTTCGTGATAGACTTGATTTCTTCGTCCATGGCGTCTCTCCGCTTTATGTTTTCTACCGCTTCTTGATAGCTTAGAGGCTCACAATTACCTAAAAGGCAAAAGAGGTTAATGTCGTTTTGGTTTTCGGTTACCTCATAAAGCTCTTCAATGCTCCTTAGTCGTGGTGTCTTCTCACTTGAACTTGTTTCATCCAACCTTGGTGTCGGTGAAGAAGGTGGTGTAATATGTTCCTCTATCATTGGTTGTTCCATTTCTTCTTCTTCTTCTTCCTCTTCAAAGTAAGGAAGAAAATCATACTTGTCTTCTTGAGCACTCCAGTCCCAATAATCTTTTTCGTCAAACTCCACATCACGACTTATGATGATCTTTCCACTATTTGAGTTATAAAGCTTGTACCCTTTAGAGCTTGAGTTATAACCCACAAACACATACTTCTCACTTTTATCATCGAGCTTTGTTCTTCTTTCATCTAGAATGTGGGTATAGGCAATGCTTACAAATACTTTGAGGTAAGAGATCCCAGGTTTCCTTCCACTCCATGCTTCTTGGGGTGTCTTTTCATGCACGCTTCTTGTTGGGGAACGATTTGTCAAGTAAACTGCACATGCCATTGGCCCAAAACTACTTCGGCATCTTCTTGCTCTTGAGCATGCTTCGTACCATGTTAATTATAGTCCGATTCTTTCTCTCTGCTGTTCCATTTTGTTGAGGCGATCTTAGCACATTCAGTGGGCGACAGATTCCATGGTCTCCACAATATTTGTTGAACTCATTTGAAGTGAACTCTCCTCCTCAATCAGATCTCATGGCCTTGATGGAAAGACCACTTTCTTTCTCCACAAGAGATTTGAACTTCTTAAAGTTGTCAAATACTTCTGACTTCTCTTTCAAGAAATAAACCCATATTTTTCTGGAATAATCATCAATAAAGAGGAGAAAGTATTTATTCTTACCAAACGAGCTGGGTTTGATTGGTCCACAGACATCCGTGTGTATGAGCTCTAGTGGCTTTGTCGCTCTTGACGTTGATTTCTTTGGAAAACTTTTTTAGAATTGCTTCCCAATTAGACATCCTTCACAAAGTTGGTCTGGGTAGTTGATCCTAGGCAAGCCTCTCACCATCTCTTTCTTCGATAAACGTTCTAAACCATCGAAGTTGAAGAGAAAAGAAATAAGTGGTACTTGGACACTGGCGCAAGCAACCACATGTGTGGCGATCGAAGTATGTTCGTAGAGATCAATGAAGCGACAACTGGTGATGTATCATTTGGAGATGACTCAAAGATATTGGTCAAAGGAAAAGGTAAAATTCTCATACGCTTGAAGAATGAGAGTCATCAATTCATATCCAATGTCTATTATGTGCCTAACATGAAAAATAATATTTTAAGTTTGAGACAATTATTAGAGAAAGGCTATGACATCCACTTGAGTTTGGGACAATTTACAGAAATATTGTATTGTAATTGCTTTGACTTTTGAAATGTTATATTTGCAGTATGTGGTTTTTTTGGCATAGAATGGTTGTGAAGTGTTGAAGACTTGGTACATCAGTTGTTAGAATTAGTAAGCAGTTAAGATATTTTGTATAATGATATATTTATGTGTAGTATTTTAGTATTTGGTTTTTGTTTCATGAGGTTGTTTTGATATGCGAGATTCCTTAAATCAGAGTTAGCTCTGTCATTATTTGATAATTTAAATTCTGAATTAAAGTTTATTCAAATACTTTGAATTATTTAATATTTCTTTTACATATAATAACTATCATTATTATTTATATATTACCACGGCTATTAAATTCACAATTATTAGGTTATATTAGGTTACTATATTCAATGGACTTTTTAATATTCCAAAAAGATCTAATGTATTTTGTTTTTTCGTTCCAAAATGTTTATTGGTTTGTATCCATGTTACTGAATTTAGAGAGACTCAACGTATTGAATGTATATCATATTTGAAATTTAAGAGAGATGTGATGAGTACTACAAAGATAATATAAATGTATTTAATAACCATTATTATAAAATAAATATTAACTACTAAATATTATTATAATTCAATATTTTGACACAACAATATTATTAGAATTTAAAAAGGAGAGAGCTCATTAATTCTATATATTTTTTAAAAGAAATTTTTTTTGAGGGTTCTGTTTCATATTTAAAAAAGATGTCAACAATTATTTCCTAATCTACTAATTATATTTGTAGGATAAAAAAATCATGAAAACACATTCTTTCAAACACACAAATATATATATATATATATATATATATATGAACAAAATTATACGTTAAATAAAATATAACTTTTTTATATTTTGATGAAAAACATGTATAAAATAATGAAAATCTTTTAACCAAATTATTATTTTTCTATAAAAATCGAGAATTTTTTTTATTAATAACCATGTATTAAAATAATATTTCGCAAATAACCGCGTTTCGGAAAAAAATACGCAAATAACCATGTTTCAGATGACTCTCCAAATGAGGAGCCATTTGAAATGGCGCATGCACCTATATTTTAAGGGGAGGCGCCATCTCACTTGGCGCCTATGTGCTTAGGGCAATGCCCTAAGCCAAGTGAGATGGCGCCTAGGTGTTAATTTAGGGCAAAATGTGATTTTTTTATCCGGTGCGTTGCGTGTTCGATAGAGGATCAACAAAATGGACTTTTTATTAAAAAAATAATAATTACATCCAACTGTATTACATTAAAATAACAGATAAAAAAATAGAAGAAAAAAAACAGATAAAAAAATACAGGAAAAAAAAACAGATAAATCAGTGATCCCCCGGAACCCGGTAATGACCCTCGGTTCCGCATCCCCGTCCTCGCCTTTCTCGTGCTGGGTGTCGTCGTGTTTCCTGCTGCGGCAAGGTCGATGGCCCAGCGAAGTCAATGCGGTCCGGATCCATAAAATCAGTCAGATCTCCATATCTAGAAGATCCGCTTTGGTACAGTCGGTTACCCATACCCTCAAAGTTTGGTCGTGTTAGCGGTGGGTGGGGTTCCATAATGGGTCTGTAGCATTGATCGTCTGAGTACGGTGGGTAGAAAGGAAATGGATCTTGGGGTGTTTGGTATTGAGGATGTTGGGTGGTTTGGTGATATTGTGGTTGATGGTAGGTTGGGTCGGTTTGTTCGTAATCTTCCGACATTCCCATATCAGGGCTAAGGCTGGATGTTGAGGGGCCCATATTGGGATATGCGGAAGACTGAAATTGTGTGTGGGGTATGCGGGTGTGCTGGTATTGGGATTGGTATTGTGGTTGGGTGTGAGGAATATCGGGGTATTGGTAGTGTGGTGGTGATTGTGGTTGGTTGTGTGGCATTTGAGTGTAATTGTGTTGTGGTGGGGACTGTGGTTGGGTGTTTGTGGGTCTGTTTCTTCTTGGGGGTTGGTGGGAGGTTGATGGGTTTTGGGTTTGTTTATGGGGAAACGAGGGTTGTGCCTATTGTGTGCGTGGGTCAACCAAGTACCTTGGATGAGACACGTGTATCTCAGGGTTACTAACCGACCTGTACCAAGACAAATATTGATCTGTGTGTCGCATATTACCTTGATTAAGGAAAACCGGGAATTGCAAGACGTAGCGGTGACGCCTCTGCCACATCTTACACCATTCCGGAGCGAAGTCTTTCCAGTTGGTAAGACCCCACTGGGCGTCGACCCTTTTAAGATGCCATGGGGACAAACAAGTTGGATCACTTGGTATCTCTTAATGCATTCCGAACTGCATCTTCACACGGTCGTTGTGGTGCATCTCCACAATGTTGAACCGAATGATTGCAGTCTTCGCGGTCCAAGTTGCTGCATCCTTTGGGTTTGGATCATGGCCCAAACTCAAATATGGTCTCCAGACGAACTGCGATAAAATTTAAATCAGGTTAACGCAAAAGTAATGTATAAATAATTTAAATGAACAAAAGTTAAAAGCTACGACGTACGTCATATGGGCCTAAGTGATCCAACAGATTGCGGTAGAGTGCGACATTGAATCTTGGATTCTTGCCGTAATCCATACCCCTCACGCAGTACCTAAAGGAAATGAGAAACATTTTATTCTTAGCATATATTTGGGGAAGAGATGAATAGTTATAAATGCTATAACTTGATGACTTACTTTGTTGCGTACGGGAAATCGAAAGTGTTGTTGTTGACGGGGTTTAAGGACTCCATCCTCCACCAACCCCAGGCTTGTAGTAAAAAAGCACACCCATAAAATGTACATTTTTCCTTGACTGCATTTTTGCACAAGGAACTGTATAGGTGGGCTAAAACTGCAGAACCCCAACTATATTTTCTTGTTTTTTCAAAATTTCTTAGTAAATGTAAATACATAAAATTTACACTATTTCCCGTACTTTCAGGAAATAAAAATGTACCAAAAAGTATCATAAGATAAGTTCTGGCTTTTACTACCTTGTCATTCTCGGAGGAATTTTCATTTAATTCCAAACTTGCATAATGACTTTTCAGCTCAGTGAGTAGTATTCCCTGACCTCTCGCACCACCACCTTCTACCATATCCCTGCCCAACAGTTCTTCACACTGAGAGTTGGGTTGTTGAACCGACCCGTTCACGGCCTTACCATCGACAGAGAGACCTAGTAGCATGTACACATCCTCTAGCGTGATGGTACATTCACCTATTGGTAGGTGAAATGTATGGGTCTCTGGTCTCCACCTTTCCAACATTGCAAGAATGAACTTCGAGTCAATGGTGTAGTTGGAGATCTTTATGACATGTCCAAAACCTACGTATTCCAGATATGGTACGATAAATGGGTCGGGAGCCAGGTAGTTGTAAGAATGGATTCTGAATCTTTTTGTGTCCTGAGTTCATAATGTAACATGTGTAAGATTAAGTAAGAAGAACAACGCATTATCTGAAGTATGAAAAATGTATAACCAAAAAAGAAACTTACAAATGCGGCAATGTTTTCCCTTGTGCCTCTGTGAGTATCGCCCATTGTTAGAAGAGCCATTGTTTAAAATGCTTGAGATTATGAAAGACTTAGGAAGAGATAGAGAGTATAATAGACTTAGAAAGTTTAAGAGATTATGAAAGATTTCGTAGAAGAGAGTGAAACTTGTGTGGGTGTGAGAGATGTATGATATGGTATGTATTTATAGGCAAATAAATTTCATATAGTGGTTGTTGGTGCTTGCATGCATGCGAAGTGTCACTCTTGCAGGCTAGGTGGCAGCCTAGGGGGTTACATATATGCATGCATGCATGTACAAAAAATGAAAGGAGTCACTCTTGCAGGCTAGGTGGCAGCCTAAGGATGTATCACGATTGGACGGTAAGGGAGGCTCCATTGGACTTGGCGAAAGAGTACAAAAATGAATGGTGTCGCCACCCCAATTGGCGAATAAGAGGTGTCCTTTGTTGCAGCCTAGGCTCAGGCTACGTGACAGCCTTTGGGATTCCTTGCCTCAATGCATGTAAGCCCATTGGAGGTGATGGGAGGAGACTTACAACATACATGTATAGGTGCAGACTAGGGGCAGGCTAGGTGGCAGCCTAGGGGGTTACATATCTGCATGCATGTATCATGATTAGACAGTAAGGGAGGCGCCATTGGACTTGACGAAAGAGTACAAAAATGAATGGTGTCGCCACCCCAATTGGCGAATAAGAGGTGTCCTTTGTTGCAGCCTAGGCTCAGGCTACGTGACAGCCTTTGGGATTCCTTGCCTGAATGCATGTAAGCCCATTGGAGGTGATGGGAGGAGACTTACAACATACATGTATAGGTGCAGACTAGGGGCAGGCTAGGTGGCAACCTAGGGGGTTACATATCTGCATGCATGTATCACGATTGGACAGTAAGGGAGACGCCATTGGACTTGGCGAAAGAGTACAAAAATGAATGGTGTCGCCACCCTAATTGGCGAATAAGAGGTGTCCTTTGTTGCAGCCTAGGCTCAGGCTACGTGACAGCCTTTGGGATTCCTTGCATGTAACATTATTGGCAGTCTTGGGGGGTTGCATCCTTACTTAATTGAAATTTTTAGCCTTACGTTTATCATAACATTGATTCACATAATCTGTCAAATCTTCCAACCTTCAAACGTTCTTACAACCAAACCTTCAAACCTGCAAACAATCAAACATATAAACTTTCGAATCACTCGTAAAGTTCAAACATTCCAACCTTCAAACATTACAACATTCAAACCTTCATACAATCAAAAAACCTCAAACATTCCAACCTTCGAATCACTCATAAAATTCAAACATTCCAACCTTCAAACATTACAGCATTCAAACCTTCATACAATCAATAAACCTCAAACATTCCAACCTTCGAATCACTCATAAAATTCAAACATTCCAACCTTCAAACCTTAAAACAATTCTACGCAATGGCCTCCGCACCACAATTTGTCGTCAAAGCACATTTCAATGGTGAGACATACATTTGTCCCACCGTTGGGTTTTTATTTAGAGACACAGACAACATCCGATTTCTCTTAAACGGGAAAGCCAATTTCTC